TAATATGTAATTTGATAAACCATTTAGGTATTTATATAAAAATAACATTTTTATCAGTGATATTGAATTAAAAATGATCCAGATAAATGTTAGTATTTTAGAGAATATTTTCAGATTATGTTTGTCAGTATGTGACAAACATTTAATTATATTCATAATAGGTCTTTTTATTTTCACACAATTAATGTTAAAATATATGAAAGCAATCAAAATAGTTGTTGTATTTTAGAGAATATTTTCAGATTATGTTTGTCAGTATGTGACAAACATTTAATTATATTCATAATAGGTCTTTTTATTTTCACACAATTAATGTTAAAATATATGAAAGCAATCAAAATAGTTGTTATTTTAACGATGATAGATTTCTCTAAAGGGATATGTTAAATGTTTTATACAGGGTCAACTTTTTAAATATATACCAATAAAAGTAAATATAATTTAAAATTATTATACATTTCAATAAATAGTTAAAGTTAAATACTATACATTAATATTTGTAAACAAATGTTCCTTACAAAATACTGATAAATATTATGAAACAAAATCTTTAAAAATAATTTTATTTTATTATTTAATACATTGAATCGCACATGTCCATGATAAAAATTAATTGACATAAAGTGATATTGAAATATTAAGTAATTATAATTTTATTGTGTACTAATTATGTTAAAATTGCTATTCAAACTTATGATTTAAATATGAATAGTATAATTTTAAATCTAAATATGTATTTTTATTTTTGTATTTTTTTATTTTGTAAAAATTATGTCACAATTAAATAAATTTCAATTAGTACAAACTAAACTTGTGTATAAATTAAATTAATTGTTTAACAATTGTATTAACATAACAGTGAATGTTATGACAGAACCTATGAATGCGAATAAAAATTTAATATCAATAGTAAACACATTGAATGCCATGTATTTTGAATGCGAGTAATTCATAATGTGTTGAATGAATAGAGAATTTAAAGCAATATTTTTCGAAAACTTGAAATCAAAATATTTTTCATAACATATTTGCAATTGGTTTGCAGTCGGTCTACGAGTTTGAAAGTAATTAATTGCTAATAAATATGATATGTTTATAATGGTAATACAAATATATTCTGTGAAACCCTTCAGAATATGTAGACTCATATGTATATCATTATTATTAATAACAAAATAAGCCAAACGCAGACAAGTCGATGAAAACAATTCACAAAACCATAGAAATGGGAAAATACCCAAACATTCATTTATAGACTCCTTATGTCTTTCAATAGTCAGTAGTTTTTGTCTCAAAATTTCATAATTAATATGATTTGTGTCTCTAATTAATAGTCTCTTTTCCATGAGATATACGGCATAACAGATGTTTATTAGCAGTAGAGGTATGGCTATAATAAAGCCATACCAAAATATACTCCATGCTATAAAACATGTAATGGTTAAAGGTTTGAAATTGTGATCATAAATAATAACATAACTGAGTAATGATGACATATTGATTGTCACAAATAGGCACCAGGTAAATGTTAAAATTTTATTACATTTCTTCAGACACTTTGTCTCGCAATCAGTCATACATTCAATTATATTCAGAAATATTTTATGGATTTTTAAACCGTTTATTTCAAAATATATTACTCCTATAAAAACTATCATTGCTTTTATTAAAATTGAAATCTCATATACTGAATAACTTATCATGTTTAATTTACTTGATTTGCGAAATGTTATTGTATACCAATAATAGTATACTATTGCGAAAATAAATATAATTTTAGTTGTATATTTAAATACTTTCTTGATACGATTATACAACACTTGTTTTTTATTAATAAATAAAAAATTATCAAAACTTAACACGAATAAAATAATTGAAAATGGATACATGATAACTATATTTTTAATTTTGCATACAATTAAAATTTTAGCATTAACTTATATTTAAGTAATTAACTTAAAACTTTCAGTATTATATTTACTTGAACATTATTAAAATTGTATTTATTGTTATACACAGTATTTCATTACTAGAGTTTATGTGACATTTTTATATTTTATATTAGTTATAAAATTTTATTCATGTATTGTTGAAATATATTGAATGCTATTTAATGATTATAATTACGACAAACCAAAATGAAAACAAAATAATTAAGACTTTAATAACTGAATGAACATAACATTGAATGTTATGACAGACCCTATGAATACAAATAAAAATTTCAAATCAATTGAAAACACATTGTATGCCATGTAATTACTTCGTGAATATAAATTTATTGTATTTTTAATTAACGCATTAATTATTAATTTTCTTGAATCAATTAAATTATCAGTTTTGTCAAAACATGAAAGCAATTGATTGACAGTCGGTCTATGGGTTTGAAAATAATTAATAACAATTATAAACATAATGTTGACAACAAATATACAAATATATTCAATGAAACCATGCGACAGATTTGCATAAAATGTTTCATTATTTTGTTTATTAACTACAAAATGTGTTAATCGTAAACATGTTGATGAAAATAAATCGCTAAACCATAAAAAGGGAAATATACCTAGATGCTTATTAATGGACTCCTTATAGCTCGTAATGAGTAATAGATTTTGTTTTAATAATTCATAATTTGTAAAGTTTTTATTAATCAATAGTCTCTTTTCGATGAGATATACGGCATAACAGATATTAATTATCATTAGAGGCACGGCTATAGTAAAGCCATAAATTTCAATAATCCAGATGATTTCAAAAACTAATATTAAATGTCTTACACGATAAAATGTATAATAAACAATCAGGGCTATAAATGCAATCATAATTAATATAATCCACAATAAACTCATTACTTTTGAGCAAAATTTAAAACAATGTTTATCTCTATTGGATAAACTGTTAATTAATGTAACAGTAAGTTTTTTAATTGTGCTTGATTGTATCTCAAAATAAATAAAACTGAACACAAATATAGACTTTATAACAAAACTTGTATTTATTTAATATTTTTTATGCATTTATTCAAATTAATAAATAAATTAAATGGCAAAATTTAATTATTTAACAATTGTATTAACATAACAGTGAATGTTATGACAGAACCTAAAAATACAAACAAAAATTTATTATTAATTACAAACATATTGATTGCCATGTATTTGCTTTGGGAATAAGTAATGAAATAATTATTTAACATATTATTCAATTGGATTTCTTTAATATCCATTGAATTGCAATTCTTGTCAATACATATCCGCAATTCATTAATAGTCGGTCTATGGGTTTGAAAGTAATTGATTGTCAATACATACGTTATATTTATTAAACAAATTGATATGTATTCAATTAAACCGCGTATAATATTCACATAATAAAGTTCAGGGTCTTGTTTATTGATTGCAAAATACGTTAATCGGAGACAAGTAGTCGAGAATATCTCACAAAACCATAGAAATGGGAAAATACCTAATATTTCATTAACCGATTCCCTGTGCGAAATAATAATAATTAGTTTTTGCTTCAATTCTTCATAATTAATATGATTTTTATCTCTAATTAATAGTCTCTTTTCCATGAGATATACGGCATAACAGGTGTATATTAATAGCAATGGCATGGCTACTATAAAGCCATACAAACAAAATACCCATAAAATTTGGCTTAATATGTAATTTGAAAAACCTTTTAGGTATTTATATAAAAATGACATTTTTATCAGTGATATTGAATTAAAAATGATCCAGATAAATGTTAGTATTTTAGAGAATATTTTCAGATTATGTTTGTCAGTATCTGACAAACATTTAATTATATTGATAATAAGTCTTTTTATTTTCACACAATTAATGTTAAAATATATGAAAGCAATGAAAATAGTTGTAATTTTAACGATGATAGATATTCTCCAAAGGGATTTGTTAAAGGTTTTATACAGGGTCAACTTTTTAAATGCATTGTAATAAACGTAAATATAACTTAAAATTATTGCACATTTCAAAATATATTTTATAATAATTTTATAATATTTGAAACACCTTTTTGTGGGCAAAAATTCAGGAAAACTTAATAAATATAATACACATGAAAACGG